CCCCCCCGACCCCCGCTGATAATTAAAGTCTTCCGCTTATTATCAATTTATGGTTCTTTACTACGCATACATTCTGATATAGTAGGGCCTGCTGGTTAAGGGGCTTTCCCTTCGGCCCTGTATTTCTTGTGCTGCAGTGACCCTCATTACATCTCCTCACAAAATCTCCTTGATTTTTTTCTTTGTTTCAAGTCTTGCTTTTGTTTGGTTTTTAAATACATCTGAGAGGAAGCATCGCACTTTTCCTCCAAAAGGTCATAACACTTTTTTTGTTGTTATTGACATTTTTCTTAGTTGTTTTCAAAATCCATATGATGCTGTGTCAGTTTACCTGGGCCTGGGTCCTCCGTGATGGGGCCTTGGTGGAGAAGCCCAGTGGGCTCTGGGGAGCGGGCCTTGGTCTGGTGGGTTAGGCTGGGCAGACCTGGGGGCCAGTTAAGCTCGGTGGGAGAACGTCCCAAGAGTAGCCAGGGGAAGCAGGTGGATGTGCTCACATACTCACATGGTAAAATTGTCACTGTTTGAGGTGACAATTGTCTTATGCCTTTTACTTTTTCTACAGTAGAACCGTAGGAATTTCAGTAAAATCAGACAGAACGTAAAGCAGTAACTGTTAGCTTTAACCAAAAGAGAGAACCTGCAGAAATTAAACTCCTACGAATCAAAGTGGACTATACTTGGTAACAATGTATATTAAGTCAAAACTTGTATTTGAAGCTTTTCCTTCTAAATTCCTGCCGTATTTGTATACAAGTGCTTTATTACTATGGTAGAAATACCAGATAAGATGTTCTCTTTTTTTTTTTGATGTGGACCATTTTTAAAGTCTTTTATTGAATTTGCTTCTGTTTTATGTTTTGGTGTTTTGGCCTTGAGGTATGTGGGATCTTAGCTCCCCCACCAGGGGTAGAACCCACACCCCCTGCATTGGAAGGTGAAGTCTTAACCACTGAACCGCCAGGGAAGTCCCCAGATAAGATGTTCTTAAACCAAGTTTCCCACTTGGCTCTTTTAGGGATTTGTGATTCTAAACAGTGCAGTGGTTTCTGAGCGCTGAGTTGGGGTCCCAGCTTGAGGAGGTGACTTGAGAACAACAGTCTGCATCCTGAGCTTTCCTCGCAGTGGCCTCCCCGCTCTGGTGGGGTTCTGCGTCTCACCCCAGCCTTGCTTAAAGTAATGAGGACTTGTGTTCCCACCACCTCCCCTCTGCCTTTCCCCTGCTGTGCAACACTGCTGAAGAGAGGGTAGGTGATATTTCTAGGATCTGTGGACCCTGGTCCACATACAGATTGCAAATTCTGTAAAGCAGTAGAGCTTGCATGCTAAGGTACATTTGGGTCTTCTTACGTTACTGAAACAAAGTTCACAATGCCATCGGGGAGTTTGTTTTGAAGGGAGGAGTTTGGAGAATTTCTGTCTCTGACTCTGATATGGGTGTCTCATTCATGTTTTCTTCTTTTTATAGGCACCAGTTTGTAGAAAATAATTTAATACTAAAAATGGGTCCAGTAGACAAGCGCAAGGTAAGTTAGATTACTATGGTTCCTTGCTGTGCATCTGTATCTTCCTCCCAGTTCTCACTCAGGATCAGGCCTTGCTCCTCGGGCTCCTGTATAACTCATTGCCCATAGCACCTTTGTCTTGGTTCCCTTTAAGAGATCATCTCTAGATTTCATAGCTGAGGAAGATTTCAGCCATTCGGGGGAGGCATTTGAAAGCACGCAGAGGCCGTGGCAGACAGAAATGCAGATTCTCGTTTCTGACTGGGGAGCTAGGGTTCCGATTTGTGTCCAAGGCTGGGTTCACTGAGGTCAAGGTTTCTGTCTGGTTGAGGAGCTTCTGTTTGAATCCCAGCAAGTCATTTATTACTTCATTAGAATTGTTTTTGAAAATCTTACTTATTATTTCTTATGGATTAATTAAATGGATTAACATGTCCAAAATATCAAACTCCACAAATGTTCTCTCTCTGCTGCCGCTGGCCCTTCTCAGTTAGGGCTCCCAGCCTGCATTGCTGGCCACACTCAGCCTTCCATACCCCAGGGCATCTCTGCCATGAGAACCTCTGTGAAGGTGGCTTGTGGCGGGACCGCCAGCAGACAGGACACTGTGCCTCGGCATGGAGCATAGGGCAGGAGAAGCGGCAGGGGCCTGACTGCCAAGGGCAGGCCCCTCTTGGCCGACTCAGCAACAGGGCTGTGTGCCGGTGTGCTGGCCTCGGGTGCGCTGCCTGTGTGGCCGCTCCCCCACATGATGCCCGGCACAGGGGCGTTGGGATCCAGCCCACAGAGGGAGACAGGCCGGGCAGTGAGTGCTGCCCGCTTCTCTCTGACCTGAGGGGCTGGGTCCAGGTGAGGAGGAGGTGTGCACGCCCCTCTGTCCCAGGCGAGTGGGCAGGTGGCCGGCAGTGGTCCCTGTGCCTGGAGCTACTCTGACAGTCCAACCTCCAAGGCAGCAGTAAGTGCTGTCAGCATCCACTTCTGAGCCTTAACAAGCAGTGTCTTCTTTCTTTCTTTTTCATCTTAATTTGCATCAGGGTTTATTTGCACGGCGACGACAGTTACTGCTCACAGAAGGGCCACACTTATATTATGTGGATCCTGTCAACAAAGTCTTGAAAGGTGAAATTCCATGGTCACAAGAACTCCGGCCAGAGGCCAAGAATTTTAAAACCTTCTTTGTCCACACGGTGAGTTTGTCCACACGGGTTCTCCCTTGCAGGGCACTTAAGAGGCCTTTGGGCCTTTGTGCCTCCATTCAGAGCATCCAAATGCTGTGGCCCAAGGAGGCATCTGGAGTCGGGGGGCAGTGGTCTCCCCCTTTCCCACCTTCCAGGGACCCCAATGTTCATGGCTCAGTTCAGAGTTGGGCTGGGAGATGCCTGTGCTTGTTTTCAGTTTGGGGGTGACCTCAGGGAGCTATGGGTCATCACCTGTATGTTTAATTTCTGCACATATGTGGAAGGAAAAAATTCACATGCTCATGTGCTTCCAGAAGGGACTTGAGCAGTGGCTGCAGTGGATCGCGATTTCTTTTTACAGTTTCTCACTGATGGGTGGAGGTGCTGGTCTTAGTGGGACTCCCTGGAGAATGTTAAACGTTTCTGTCTCTGCAGCCGAATAGGACGTATTACCTGATGGACCCGAGCGGGAATGCTCACAAATGGTGCAGAAAGATCCAGGAGGTGTGGAGGCACAGATACCAGAGCCACCCGGACGCCGCTGTGCAGTGATGCCCACGGCCCTGCACGCGCTGCAGGACGTGTGCCCAGCACGGCTCACCGCCACCTGGACACTTCCAGACCACCTGCCAGCCATCTCAAGGGGGACGCAGACGGCGGAACCTTGCAGCTTTTTTATTTAAAAGAAAAGAAAAATACCCAACCACACAAAGAACAAAACAAATAATGAAAAGGAATTCAGGGTCGCTTTGCTTGCTCTCTGTGCCATGTGGAGCTTCTCGCACTCTGCTCACCATGGGAACCAGCATCGTGCACATCCGCCTGGTTCCCGCCCGGACTTGTAGACAGACTCGCGGCACCAGCTCTCCACCATGTGCCCTGTCACCTGCCAGTCCTGCTGTGGCCAAGGGGACCACCCAGGCATGTCTCTGGGCTCTCTCTGCCCCGGATCATCGTGGAACTAACTTTTCACCAGGGAGCTGGGCATACCTCTCTTGGGGTGGCCCCCGAGCTCTGTGGGGCAGGCGGGTTCTTGGCTTTTGTCCATGTGCTCCTTTCTTCGCGTCCCTAGTGTATGGCCTGGTCTCCATGGCCCGTGCTTGCCTCCTCAAGTAGCCCTGGCTGTGAGATTTCTGCGGTCCTTGCTGCCTGTGAGTTGTGTTGGCCGGGCAGGCTTCGGGCACTGAGAAGTAGAACAGGTCTTCCAGGTGAAAAATGGAGTCGCTGCTGTGTTAGAAGGTGCCAGCCAAGCATTCCGATGAGTCATCCCTCGGAGCAGCGTTGCCCTCTGAGGCGGGGAACTGAGTACCTGCCTGGGAGGAGCACCAGGTGCACCAGGAGACGGGGCTCAGTGGCCTCCCCTCCCCGTGTGAGGCCAGGGCAGTGCAACAGACGGGCCTGGAGGCCTCCCTGTGGAGGAGTGAGAGCTGGTGGCCCCTCTTGAGAGTTTTGTTTGAAAGATGGAGGGTTAAGTCAGGGCTGAGAGGTGCCTGGAGTCGGCACACTGGATGGTCTTCCATCACACCCAGGCCTCACGGAGGAGGGCAGGCTCCCAGCTGCCACATGCATACTTTTCCTGCTAAAGTTGAACATTCTCATAGTCTAACTCAGAGTGTTTTTACATATGCACAGTGAAAATCAAAAAGCCTTCTCATGTTGCCAGGTCATCTGGTCCCCATCAAGTGGACTTTGCCTGGAAAAAAGTGTCACTCACCTTGCATGAGGGGCAGGAACACCACACTTGAACCCAAGCCCCAGCCTGCTCTTCTCCAGTTTCAGGCTTATTTCCTTTAGCTCTTTAGAGGCTGCGCACTGCTGTGCACTTAGGATGGTCCAGGGCTTACCGGTCCGTTGATTGTCTTTGCTGCTGCCCCCTGAACAGAGAACGCCTGTGAGCCAGGCAGGGCTCAGCCATTCTTCTCCCTGCCCAGGGTGTCCCTGGGGGGCAGTCCTCAGTCCCAGGTGGGAGAGGAGCAGGCGCTGGGGCCCGCAGGCTGCCGCTTACGGACGTGGATGGCTCTGTCCCCAGGGGAGGGATGACTTTGCCATTTCCTTTAGACTTTCACAAAGGTACCAACAGAACCTCCCACAGAAAAGGTCCCCTGACTACTTGCCTGCCCCCATCTCCTATCTTGAACGAACCATCCATCACCCTGTGTGACCACTGGTCCACATGTAGAGGAAAGATGTCTTAAAGTGTTTTGGTGATACAATAGTAGTGGCTCTTAAACTAGGAAAAAGGTTCGGATGTGGAGAATCCCACAGTGCTTGGACAGGGAGAGGGGTTGGATGGGAGCAGAGGTGGGAGCCTGGTTTGCCAGGGGTTTCTGCTTGGGGGGGAGTGTGTGTGTGTGTGTGTGTGTGTGGGTGTGTGTGTGTGTGTGTGTGTGCGTGTGTGTGTGTGGGCGTAAATAAATAAATAAATGTTATTAAAAATTAAAGTTATTAAACGTGTGTGTGTGTGTGTGTGTGTGTGTGTGTGTGTGTGTACCAAGGTGTAGGGGGTGCCTGCCCTGGGGGCGTCCCAGGGTCGTGTGGTCGTAGACTGAGCCCCCTTTCCTCCTCCTCGTTTTGGAAAAGTCTTGCCTGTGTTCACGTGTTTTCCAGAAAGTGAGTCTTTCTTGACCCTTTCTTTCAGGACTTTGATTTCAGGCACACTCCCGTTTTTATATTTACCCTCGTCAGAGCGTCCTCATCTGTGTGTGTGCAGTTAGGAAGGTGAGGAGCCCGCTCCTACACAGCGTCTTTCCTGGGTGTCTGGTTGCAGGGAAATAAGCAGAGCTGATATTTGGCTTTTAAAAGAGCACTTGGCTGGGCTGCTCGGGGAGAGACAAATCTTCTGTTGCATTCTTCCCTCTGGATAGCGCCACTACCTCCTGGGCTTAACCGACAAGCTCCATCTTAACCTCCAAAGCCAGAGAATAAGGGGTTCAGGGTTGAGCTCGAAGCTGGCAGAGCTGAAGTGACTGCCCATCCTGAGCCAGTGACAGCTGAACCCTTCTTTGTAGGTCACCGTTCTCTGCTCAGAGTCCTCTTTCCTTTTTGTTTTTTTAAGGCCCCTATATATTCCAGTCTTACCCTGTGCTCACTCATGTCATCTTTAGTTTTATCCACCTCATCCTTTGAGCCATCGTCCTGGCATGCAGGTGCCTTATGTTCTAAGACGTGGACGCGGGTGTCAGTCTCTGTACACATGCAGACATACCTAGAAATATATATAAATGTGGTCTTAACCAAGGCTGAGAAAGAAAATGCCCTGGTGTTTAATGCATCCAGGAGTGTCTTACTGAGAGGGGACAAGACAGGGATAAGCACCAAAGCCAGCACCTGTCAAGCAGCGATGGTCTCACACCATGCAGCCTCTCTTGGCAGAGAGTGGAGGGAGGATGGCCATGAGGGCCAAGTCTCTGCTGGCCCAGACAGCCCGCTGTGCCTTGCCTCTCTCTGGGAACGTGAGGAAGCTGGGTTTGGATGGGTTTTCCTTCCCTCTGTGGACCTGACCAGGCCAGTGGGCAATGGGCAGCCCCATGTGGAGCACGAAGCCCCACCCTGTGAGTGGCACCCTGCGTGCCTGCCATCCTGAACCTTGACTCTCGGGAGGCTGGTTACAGACTTGCTTTGGGAAAGATGGCTCTTGGGGTCATGCCAGAGCTGATGGGAGCTGCACCTACCCCAGCCCCCTTGGGGGCTACTCTGGTATTTGTGGTGCAGGCCTGAAGGAATTGTAGGAGACAGTCTGTGGCACAGACCCCCGAGGACAGGGTGCCAGCATGGGGTTCCAGGTGACTTTGTACTTTCTTAAAACATTTGTTTTCTGAAAAAAATCAGCTGGAGGCTCAGCGCCCAGGAAAGACCACTGTGAGCATCTTGGTGCCTAGCCTGCTGCCCCCTCCTCCCCACCCGCACACGTGTTTGCTTTTGTAACTGAAGTGGGAACATCGCAACATGCACCATTTTGCACCCCGCTTTTTTCACTTGGTATTTATCTTAATGTCGTTCAAAAACCTTGTTTTTAATGATTGTAGAGTTTAATGGTTAATAATTTTTATCATAATTTATCTGACCATTTCATTGCTATAGAACATTTAGATGGTTTCTGGTTTTTCACTATTTAAATAATGCTGTGATTAATATCCTTAAAATTCTTTGATTTTTGACTCTGATCTCCCTTGCCCCAACCCTGCCCAGATTCCTAGAAGTGGTATTTTGGGGTCAAAGAGTTTGCTCATTTTAAAGCTAGTATAGTCTCTCTTCTCCTCTGTCTTGATCTGATGCTTAGATGTTCAGAGTTCCAGTACAGAACTTTCTTAGTTGTGTCCTACAGATCATGAACAAATCAATTCCTGGTAAGCTGTGTGTTCCCAAGAATGTTTGAATAAGACTGCTTTTTTTTTTTAAAAAAAAATGCTAAAATGTTGTCATTACTGCAGGCCATTTGTGACATATTTTTCCAAAAGCCAATTTCCTTATTTTATTGAAAGAACCTGGTTGTGCTTGCATGTTACCTGCCCATCCCTGCTGCTATGGCTTTCAAGTGCTTGGTGATATTTACAGAGTCTTATACTTTGTGTCCACAACGGTACTGAATTTGCATCTGCACAGTCAGCAGAGATAAAAAGTGTTGAACTGACCTTGCCACATACTTAATGGATGAGTTGTAATTAAGTTTATAGACTCAGAAAGTACATTGGGCCATTTGGAATCAGTAAAAGAGCAAAGGCTCTACTTGAAAAAGAAACCATGTAGATAACTAGATTTTACAGAAGTTTGTTTGCCCCTGTGTTCTTCAAATTGCGGGACTTAGTCAGAAGGTCTTAGCAGTTCAGTAGAGCACCCTGGCCAGTCTTTTTCATTGTAGAATGTGATTGTCCTGGCTGACAAGGATTTAATGATTTCTCCTCCCCTCTCCTCGCCCACAGTGTTGCAGGTTGCCTAGTTGTCTTGAAGTACAGACCACCCAAATTTGGTTTCATTCTTAATTTCTCCACTTCAGTTTGGGGTCTGTCAATTCTGAGGTGAAACATGCATGAAAGACTTTTCTAGGTGCCATGCTCAGTGCCACTTGGCTATGCCAGAGATTATGGCCAGTTTGTGCAGGTTTCCTACCTTCTCTCTGACACCCCAAATCCCCTTCTCCCCAGGTTGGTCCACAGAATGAGGCAGAGGCTGCAGCCACTATGAGAACATGATGAAGGTACTATTCTTGGAGATGGTGCCATATGCGTTTTTCCATATTTCTTTTCATATCCAAACCTAACATGAACTGATGGTGACTCGAGTGGGTGTGGCCCTTGTCTCTTAGGCAGACTACATGGCAAGTGCCTTAAATCGGGGCAGGAGTCACTCCCAGAGCGTCTGAGGGGTGCAGGCTGCTGGCCCAAGATTGCAGGGTTTTAAATTAGGCTGCCTGTGGAGAACTGGTCTGGGGCAGAAGCTTCCAGCAAAGGGCAGTTTTATCTGTAGCTCAGCCAGCGTGGTGGGCAAGCCTACATGTATACCTGAATTTCCCCCAGAATTCATTTCTTCAATATGAAGAAACACCAAACTTTATGTACAGAGAACTTTTTACAAAAGGCAGAATGTTTTGTAGCTGTGTAATCCACCCTAGTCTAACCCATCTGGCTGAGTGACTATGAATAAGGGTCGTTTTGCTGATGAAAAACCTCTGTCATGATAAGTTTGGACATTGCAATCAAATTTTTGCAATATTTAGAGCTGCTGTAGCTGTTCTTTAACAACACAAAATAGGATGAATCAGTAGTATGTTAGCTGTCTTTCAGGTTGGTGGCAGTCAGTTAGAACATGTATAATATTCTCTACCTGGTCTGTAGCTGTAACTGTGATGTACAGGCAAAGCAAAAATTAAAAAAAAAAATTATGAAGACAAATAATGCAATGATATTAGGATATACACTTTTGTATTTTTATTCTTATATAAGGTTATTTGCTGGCTATTGTTGGCCTCTAGTTCAGTCTGTGTTATTTAAAATCTAATATATGAATTATTTGGATTGAATTCATGTTCGGGGCCACGTTGTTGTATGTATTGATGTACAGCCTTGAATGTGAATAATTATTGTAAACTATATTTTACAACTTTTTTTCTGGCTTTATTATATAAATTTTCTATTTGGTCGATTTAATCATATCATAATTTAATGAATCTGTTTATTCTTTTTTTCAAATATTTGTGCTTTAGATGTAGTTACCGGATGATGAATTTTCCACGTATGCTCGGTAGTCTTGTAATAAAAAAGCATGTAGAGTGTAGACGCTCGCTGACGTAGCTCTTCCTTTGGCTGGGGCGCGGGTCGGGTGACCTGGATTCGGGTCCGGGAACCGGGCGTCCGGCGGAGGCCAGCGAACCCTTCTAGAGGCCAACGCCCGGCTCCGCCGCGGCCCGCTCGCACCGGCGTCATGGGACCACGCCGCGCCGGGCTTCGGCCGGAAGGTGGCTCGGCCGGCCGTTTTTCCGGACCTGAACTTCCGCCTCCAGCGTGACGGCGGGGTGGGCGCTTTACGAGGGCGGACCTGTGGGAGGGACGGAGCTCGGAGGACTGTATTAAAGGCCGGACGCTTCCGGTAGAGAGGAGCTGTGGCGGGGCTTGCTGGGATGATGGCGGAGAGTCATTGCGAGCTGCTGCCGCCGGCCCCGGGCGGCCTCGGGGCGGGGTTAGGGGGCAGCCTGTGCCGCCGCTGTAGCGCGGGGCTCGGTGCCTTAGCCCAGCGCCCCGGCAGCGTGTCCAAGTGGGTCCGGCTCAACGTCGGCGGCACCTACTTCCTCACCACTCGGCAGACGCTGTGCCGGGATCCGAAATCCTTCCTGTACCGTTTGTGCCAGGCCGACCCCGACCTGGACTCGGACAAGGTGAGGGCCGCGCGGGCCAGCCAGGAGGGTTCGGACCGCCCTGGTCTGCGGCCCGCCGCACGCCCCCTGCCCCACACTGAGGAGACCCGCCCCAGCTCCGAGCCCCGCGCTCCCCTCGTTACCAGCTCGACCCGAGCCCCCCGACTCCCTGTCCTGGACCGGGGAAGGAGAGGATGGCGCCCTGGCGCCCACCACCCTCGAAGATCCCCAGCCAGTCCACCTCGGGGTGTCTCTCTGTCTCGCCCTCTTTGCTCTTCGGTGGAGGAGGTTTTGCAGACCCCAGACTCTGCTGTGGGTCTACTTTCTTTTCCTCCTTAGATTGTTTTGCCCCTGGTGTGAGAACACCTCTTCTCCGTCCCAGTGTACTTAGAGGCTCTGGAATCCGAGAACCCTGGTATTCTTCTCATCTTCTCACATTCCTGACGTTTGACTTAACGTTGGTGTGGGGGGTTGACACGGGTGGCCTGCCTTTCCCAGTGACTTGCATTTAGAGAGTTGGTGCTCCATCGTTTTCAGCCGCAACGCGCACCCACTCAGCACTCTCAGAAAGTGCCGTCCATAGAGTGATTTTTCAAACGGAATGTTGCTCACATCAAGGGGTGGCTTAGGGGTGTTAAGGAAGGGCAAAATAGGAAATCTTTTTCAATCTGCTTTCTAATTAACTTAGTTTTCCTGTTGCCCTCTCAAAAGGATAGGAATTTCTAGCTTGGTTTGCTGATTGCCTTTCATCAGATTAAATGCTCATATTGTTGTGCAGATGGTACTAGAAACTATTTTATTACCTTTACAAGACTTGTGTGGCTGAAGAATATCTCTGGAGCTGAACAGCATTGAAACTCAGAAAAGGCTCTGTTGGAAGAATAGTTGTTACCTGTATTTATCCTAGGCAATTCACAAACCTTATTCTAACTTTCCTGTGTCTTTCAATCGAGCCTACATAACTGCACTTGGCTTTGTGCCTTGCCAGCCCAGCATTTGCCAGGCATAGGCTTCCCAGAAAGATTCAGATCCCTCTTCAAGATCCAGAAGCCTGACACAGACCATCCTCTGTGTGGCATGACCTTATGATTGGGAAACGAGAACTCGAGTTACCACAAAACCACCAGTCATGGGTAGAAATCAGGGTTTGAGATGCCAGCGCTCTGGTACCCCCCACCCCCCCAGCTGTTTCCATTGCTCATTTGACCAAGCTCTCCACTCTTAGAGTTGACCTCCCAGAAAATGACAGTCACCTCCAGGATAGAAATAAGCTTTTGTTAGCTATGATTTTCCTTTTATAGCGTGGGTGTATGTTTTACTGTTTTGTTTTTCTGTTTAAACAGTGAGCCTTAGTGGTCATTCACTTGCATTTCTACTTGAGGGTTTCTCTTTTGTATATTGAGTACGATTTTACATTGCTCTTGTCCATTGGGTTGTTTTGAGGCAATGGCTGCCTGTTCAGCACTGAGACAATTATTCAGAGCTGATTAACTATAGTTTGCCCAGTTAAGTCTTTACTGTTTCAAGACTACTTAAAAAAATTATGCTTTACTGTATAGTAGTCCTTTGGGGAGGGTAATTTATCAGAGTATGTCTATGTTGAAGTTGCTTTTTTTCACCATCATCCACTTAACCACATTTGATTTCCCAATTGTAAAATTGAAATTTAGAACATAAAGGTAATGCAGCAGATACAGTTTCTGTCTCATAAAGTAGTTGATAGTAAATATGGGTTAGTTTTAGCCACAGATGTGAATTTGCCAGAAAGAGTAATGCTAATTCCCATTAGTCATGGTCATAGAGTGTTTTACCTCAAATGAGAAAATGTATAAAGTACTCATTCTTCTCAGTTTTTTCCCCCTTTGGTTCTGATGAAAGAATATCCCAGAGATTCACTCCTAGATAGTTAAACCTTGAGTGAGGAATCTGAGGATGAGGGTGGAGGGAAAGGGGTGTTTGGAAGAGTGGGATGCTAGCAATTATGTGATGGAGGAGAAACAGGATGTTGATTCACATGTAAAAATCTCCAAGCCCTGACCTCATAGTTGAGATTGATGAAAGGATACCTTGCAGATATTCACAGGGCTGGATACACCTGGTGGAAGATTTCCTGCTGGGCATTTGTCTCCTGTTTATTGAGCACCTGGGCTTGCAGAGTTGTGCTTGGGTCGCGGTTGGGTGGGGAGATCAGGGGGAGGAGTTCCAAGAAGTGGAAGATCTGGAATCTTTCAGGAGCCTGATGGGTTTGGAGTTCACTGGGAGAGTACCTGGAGCTTGCTGTTAAACGCACAAGGTCTGGCGGGGAGCTCAGTCATGAAGCTCTGTGGGAGGGGTGGTGTGAGGACATTTTTCTGGAGGATTGCTTTGTTAAATAGCTGACAGAAAGGTTGTTAGGGATGGTGGGGAGCTGGGCTGTAACTGGGACCCAGTGCCCACGGTGCCCCAAGCTGCTAAACCCTTACCCTCTTGTCTCCAGTTCTGACTCGGGGCCCTTGCTGCCACGAAGTTCTCTCTATAGATAGCCCAAGTGTGAATTCTCACTTCCTTCTGGTGCTTCCCCAGTAGGGCTGTGTCTGTGTTATTCATTTCGGCATCTGTTCACCTGCTATCCTGGGTCATTTTTCTCTCCCCTGTTCCATCAGGGGCAGGCCAGGTGTAACAGTCCTTCCCAGAAGTGCTTTGTAAATATTCGACATGTGATTCATTTGGGTTATATATCTTTGTATTCCATGGTACCTGGCCCAGTGGCATTGTTGAAAACAGGTTAGAGTTTGTTCAGAGCTGAATCAGTCCCTGTTTCAGTGTGGAGATGCTTTAGGAATAAAAGGGAAACAGGAAATACTACTTGGTGGTTGGAAACCACTCAGATTAAGTAGGATTTGGGGTGGGGGTGGGGGTTCGGTCTCTGCAGCTGAGCCAGGCCTGGAGAAAACTGTGTGTTTCACATGAGCTTTTGCCCTTCAACAGGGCTGTTGTCCTGGCTTTGGGGTTGCAGATGTGGTGGCATCAGATGGGTCTTGGAGGGGTGGGGCTGTCGAGGTGTTTCTGATGACATGCCATGTCCTCTGCAGTTCTTTGCCTGTGCCTACCCCCAGCGTACTTGGTGTTGGCTAGAGTTTCAGGATTAGAAAGATAGTGAAAGGAGTTTTACAGACAGGGCTAAGTGATGGGGGTGTGGGTGGAAGGACTATCTTTTAAGCCGCTTGGCAGGAGAAGTGGGGATTACTTAGAGTGAAACGGCAGATTTTGTTCCGTGTGACTAAGTCAGAGGTGAAAGGCTGAGAGCATCGTGAGCTCCAGTGAGAGGGCTGGGTCTCCGGTCTGAGGCCAAGAGTTGGGGTCCCGAGCCACTGTGCATTTTGTCTCACGCTTTACTTGAGGATTGGCTCCAAGCATATTCTCAGCCCTGACCCCACGCCTGGCTCAGGCCCTGGGCAGGTGGTGGCCCAGTGCAGTGGGGGTTCACTCACCGTGGATGCCATGGTCACCTCTCCACAGGGCCCCTTGGACCTGAGCAGGGAAGCCCTGAGGAAGGGCTTGCCTTTAGTGAGGAGAGCTGTTCAGGGCATCGGACACAGCCATCAGCTGTCCCCGTCAGCCGTCTGAGGGTAGCTGGGAGGAAGTGGTCGTCAACTGAAGAGCAGTTCCTCTTTCCCCCGACCACATGGGCAGCCTTCACTTGCTCTTGGCCAGCAGGACAGTGACTGGTCATGGTTTCGAGCAGCAGTCAGAAAGCTGCGGTCCACCTGCCTGGTTTTGCAAATAGAGTTTTATGGGAACCCAGAGATGCCAGCTCCTTATGGCTTGTCTGTGGCTGCATTCCCCTGGAGTGGGTGCACATGGCTGCTTTCCAGGGATGCTCAAGGACAGCTTTCATTGGGCCAGGAATCTTTTTGTGTGTGTGTGTGTGTGTGTTACGCGGGCCTCTCACTGTTGTGGCCTCTCCCATTGCGGAGCGCAGGCTCAGCGGCCATGGCTCATGGGCCCAGCCGCTCCGCAGCATGTGGGATCTTCCCAGACCAGGGCATGAACCCGTGTTCCCTGCATCGGCAGGCAGACTCTCAACCACTGCTCCACCAGGGAAGCCCAGGCCAGGAATCTTTAAAGTCCTTTAGAGAAGCTGACTCTGTGTGGCACCCAGGGAGGGGTCTGTGTGGCCAGGGTGCCAGCAGGCCACCTCGAGCACTGGTGCTCTCCCCAGACTGCTGAGCACCCAGCACATTCCAGTCTGGAGTTGGTGGGATGTGGGTGTTGGGGGTACGGGGCATTTTTCATGGTGGCCGAGTTAGACTTTGGACTCAGGCCTGACTTTGACTCCACGCACAAGTTAACCTGCCCTGCGATTTGGGGTTAGTTAATGTACCTCTGAGCAGAGTCACAGAGGAGGAGTTGTGAGAATTAAGGAAGCTGAGGAATATGAGCCCTCCCCCATACAGTGCCTGGTGCTGGGTCGTTGCAGGAATTAGAGATGGCTCTTAGTAGTCTTTATTTTACTTTTGTAATTTGTTTTTAGAAAGAATGTACCAAGGATGCTTTTTTGTCCCCCTCAGAATTTGTTTTTGTTCCTGTTTGTCACTTACTACACGCTCCCTCACTTGCCGCAAACCTCATGCTGCTGGCAGGTAGCTCTGGTTGCTGGGCCGGCCTCAGAGGGTGGGGTGTGGAAGCTGGGCCCTTCAGTGTCCCCTGCTTCCCAGGTGGACACTTCTTAGGACAGGCCCTGGAGGGCCGGTTCCCAACTCTGGGCACTGGAGCCTGTGCCAAGGGGGAGGGGCACAGCTTCCTGGGCAGCCATCGAGTTATCGTACTAGAAACCTGATGCCCTCGAGCCTGGAGAACACAGCTCCAGAGTTCAGTACCATCCTCCATGTGTGTCTGGGATGGGCTCTTGGCATCAGGGAGGCGTCTGAGCAGGGCTGTGTACCGTTCATCTTTCCTCGTCATCCGTATTATGTTCTGTGGGTTTTAGTTTCCTCAGTAGTTGGACTTCCAGGATCCTGGCCTGGTGTTACAAGTCAGGC